TTGGCCACAACTAATCAAATGACTCCAACCCAACTGCAAGGGAGGCTGGGAAGCATGGTCTTTGACATCTTTGTATGTTGTTATATTAGGTTTACTTTATTCTCTTTCAAAGGCTATGTAGGTTCTATTGTTTGTGTGCTCCATACTTTATTAGTCATCCTCCTGTTGACTGGCTTTCAGATATTTCCAAGTTTGTTTGTTTGCTGTTACAAGCAGTGATTATGTGTGCCTGTGTCTAAAGAAAATTTCCTAGAAGTAGACTGCTGGGTTGAAGGAGATGTGTACTTTAACCTTGATAAATGTTGCCAAATCATTTTCTGATAACCTTGTTCTTGTGCTGCTTCCATCAGCAGAAGATGAGAGTGTAAGTTTCACCCTTCTCTCCCTCACACTGGGAGTTACGAAATATTTAAAATTTTGCCAGTTTAACAGTTTAAATTATTTTAGAGGTAATTGTATTTATTAATTACAAAAGAGGTAGAGTACTTCTTTATAATGTTTATTAGACATTTTAATGATTTCTTTTAACATCCTTTGGTCCTTTTTATAGTGTTGCTTGTCTTTGTATTGATTTTAAGGAACTTTTATATATTAAAGATTTTATCACCTTATTGTAAGGGTTGCACACATTTTCCTCTCAACGTTATCATTAGGGCAGGGACAGAAATAGCGTATTAAGAAAGTAATGGATGCATGACTATGAAAACTTGTGTGTTTTTTCAGATCACTATATAGAAGTTCTGGAATGCAAAATACAGTGTGAAGAGAACCTCACCCCAGTTATAGGAGGCTACCCAGTGGAGAAATTTGTGGCCACCATGTACCACTATTTGCAGTTTGCATATTATAAGTGTAAGTAATCTTCTATGAGATCTTGGATGAGATCTGCTTAGCCCTGCTAATACTTAGCTCCCCTATGTATAAAATAGTGCTAGTAACTCTTACCTATGGTTCTTGAGAGGACACCAAGGTCACGCTGACAGTCCTGGTGTCATGCTTTGCATGGAAAACTAGCATGGCCTGGTGATGTAGGGCACAGACCCTGAGTTTGATTCCAGCTCTGTCATTTACTGGCACTCCATGCTTCTGTTTCCTTACCTGTACAGTAGAAATAATAGTACTATCCTCATAGGAGTATCTGAGCATGAAATGGGTCAGTGGGCATGAAATGCTCAGGGTATTCCCACCCTGGCATGTAGCGAGCCATATAGGTGTTTGTTTTCTTTATCATTATTTCCCTTCCCAATCATAGACTTTTTTTTTTTTTTAACAGTTTTTGGCCAGGGGCTGGGTTTGAACCCGCCACCTCTGGCATATGGGGCCAGCGCCCTACTCCTTTGAGCCAAAGGTGCCGCCCCCATCATAGGCTTTTACTCTTCAGACTGTTAGATTTTAATTCTAGTTGGTTCCTCCTTGATCTGAAATTGGAGTTTATCCCTCAGAATGTTCTAAGTGAACAAAGGAAATGAATATGGGGAAAAGGGTAGCTCAAAGTTAGCCCTTAAAGGCTATTTAGGCTCCTCCTTCTGCCCCTGTCACCGCCTTTGCCAAGTGCCACTTGTTAAAGCAGCATTTTCCTTGGTGTTTCAGTTACAAGCACTGGGGGATTACTGGGGACAGTTGCAACAGGAACTGTTCTGCCTTACTGAAGAAGTGCCAGAATCCAGCAGGTTTCTGGATGCCCCTGAGTCTCCCCTTTACACTTAGGAGCTCCCGGTCTGGGGGATGCCCTGAGAAGAGTGAGAGGTCATGTGGGCCTCTATATCTCTTTTTCCCACTGTGGCTATTTTGATCTTTGTTAGGTTTCTTCTTCCAGAAAAAGCCACTTACCCATGTATCTTACCTCCC